CCCCAAAACCCCAAAACCCCAAAACCCCAGTAAAAATACGAAAATTTAAATATTTTAAATCCCGTTTAAATCCCAAAATGAACGAGAAATTATTCTATAAAACCTCTTTTGGAAAACAGAAGGTCTCTCTTGGTGAGCCTACTCATAAAGTTAGAAACATTCACTGAAAAGAAGGGCCGAGAATTCCTGATTTAAGCAGACGAATGCAACAGCTTCAGAGATATCACAGTAAGATAATTAAAGCAAAAAGGACATATAAATTTAGGCTATTAACCTTAATTTATCTTAATAACTCTTATTTAATGCTAAATGTTACTTTTCTAGGCTCAAGACAACAAAACAGACTAACAATTGACCAATATAACAACCATATGCCTACAGAAACAATATACACACCTTTGCACCAATATAATCAAAGCTTGATGCAAAGTACTAAGCACAAAGTTCCCAAAACTGCCAGGTAAAGCTATTGCTTAAAGAATAGGAGCTCCATTCAAGGAGGATGTAAATAAATCTAAAAAGAAGAGAAGAAGCTCTAACTGAAGCATCAACAGGAACAACAAATTAGCCCAAGAAATCAAGAAATCTAAGCTTAAATAAAAAGATCAAGTCGAGACAGTCTTTTGATAGAGAGCCTAAGTCAAAATCTATGAAATTCTTCAAACGTAGAATCTTCAGAGCATGGGTTAAATATGTCAGGAATAGACGAATGTCACTAAGCTTGTGATCTACTCTGAGAAACGAGTATAAAAGGAGGCATCATTCAAGTGCACAAGGGTTTAATTTGCCTAATCACCAGGCTCTATCAAAGATAGAGACCCAATGATTTTATCCAACATCTTCACAGACTTCTTTTCGAAACCCTATGCCTGTTCCAACCTCTCTAACATGCAGAAATGCTAATCAGTCTGCCAAAACACCTTACTTAACACATATTGTATCAAAGTCCTCTAGGTAAACCACCTCCATTCCCTAATCTCCATTTCTTTAGGCCTAATTCTCCTCAGTCAGAAGAAGCTTTAGCCCAGTCGATCAAAACCCGTTGTACGTATTCACCCTAATTCTTCCCTAGGCCTTAAAGAAAGTAGCCTAAAAATAGCTAAAATAGCCTTAAAAGGCTGTTTAAAACGGTTGAAAAGGAAGGAAATGGCAGATTCTTGGAGGATTTGGAGGGATTTTTGAAGGAAATGAAGAAGGTTAAGAGGGGTTGTGAAGAGTAGGTTTTGGATTGTGAGTGATTAGGGAGGTGGAGAATGGAGAAAATAAGGGCTTTATCGATTTGGAAGTAAGATTTTGAACCAAATGAGTATAGGGAAGGTCTGTTTTTGGCAAATATGGTTCATGCACAGAAGGTCATGGATGGGTTGCCTTTGAAAGTGGAGAAGAATGTGTTGTATGATGTGGGAGGAGAGATACAGGATATTTTGGAGAAGAATTATGTGTATAAGGATCAAGGAAGTATTGTATACACTCGGTTTGATAAAATGCTCAGGATAATTATTGACAGAGTGAAAGAAATTGAAGATGGAGGTGTTACAAATACAGACTTGTTTAATTCTACTCGAAGTAATTGGTTTTCTAGCCAAATAAGTAATAGTAAAAGCTTTCAAAGAAAGCTCGTATTTGAAAGTAATGTAAAGAAATATATTGATAAATCTGTAACTCCAACTCAAAATGATATCAGTAGTTTTATTAAAATTAAAGCCCCTCAAGATCGTAAAAATATTAAAAGGATTCAGACAAATTCTAGTAGGAATGAAGTTGCTAAATTAAAAGTTAGTGATCCTGTGAAATTTAAAAATCTTTATACTCCCACAGAAAGTAAAAATTCAGGTCCTCTTACTCTATCAAGCTTAGATTATCTAAAATGCTATGAAAAAGCACCTCATGAAGTTAAAAAGCCTCAAAAACCCGGGATTACTAAAAACAACAGAGACATCACACCTCCTCCTATGCGCGACATTGAGACCGATCAAACAATCTCTCTTTTCAACACCAACCCTATTCCTTCTTCAAACGGACAAAAGCCAACACTCTCACCTTCAACCCAAGGAATCTTGACTCCTCGAGACCAAAACCGCCCTCCCAAGTACCAAACCTGGGGAAGCCCTTCCAACTGCGACCAGACCACTGAAAGAGTCTACGCTATGCTCCAACTAAACCAAAACCTCATCCAAAAATACAACTCTATCAGAAGTCCTTCTACAGAGACCCCCACAGACCAGCCTCGACGAATCAAAGCTGCTGACTTCCATCCAAGCAATAGGCCGCCTTGTCCTCCAAGGTCCCCATTGACCAAGCGGTCAATGGGAGAAGACAAGGAGAATACAGGAAGAGATACAACAGAGCTATCGCCCATTGACTTTTGTGTGGAAGGCACAAGTGGGTGTGGAAGGATTGAGAGGGATTTAAGAGGCCGATGTGGATAGGTTATTGGGAGTTGGTGGAAATAAATTCAATATGGGTTGGAGTTACTGGGGTTTTGGGGTTTTGGGGTTTTGGGGTTTTGGGGTTTTGGGG